CCACCACGTAGTATTCTTATTTCTACCACTCTCTGACAGGGAGTGACTCCCACCACGTAGTATTCTTATTTCTACCACTCTCTGACAGGGAGTGACTCCCACCACGTAGTATTCTTATTTCTACCACTCTCTGACAGGGAGTGACTCCCACCACGTAGTATTCTTATTTCTACCACTCTCTGACAGGGAGTGACTCCCACCACGTAGTATTCTTATTTCTACCACTCTCTGACAGGGAGTGACTCCCACCACGTAGTATTCTTATTTCTACCACTCTCTGACAGGGAGTGACTCCCACCACGTAGTATTCTTATTTCTACCACTCTCTGACAGGGAGTGACTCCCACCACGTAGTATTCTTATTTCTACCACTCTCTGACAGGGAGTGACTCCCACCACGTAGTATTCTTATTTCTACCACTCTCTGACAGGGAGTGACTCCCACCACGTAGTATTCTTATTTCTACCACTCTCTGACAGGGAGTGACTCCCACCACGTAGTATTCTTATTTCTACCACTCTCTGACAGGGAGTGACTCCCACCACGTAGTATTCTTATTTCTACCACTCTCTGACAGGGAGTGACTCCCACCACGTAGTATTCTTATTTCTACCACTCTCTGACAGGGAGTGACTCCCACCACGTAGTATTCTTATTTCTACCACTCTCTGACAGGGAGTGACTCCCACCACGTAGTATTCTTATTTCTACCACTCTCTGACAGGGAGTGACTCCCACCACGTAGTATTCTTATTTCTACCACTCTCTGACAGGGAGTGACTCCCACCACGTAGTATTCTTATTTCTACCACTCTCTGACAGGGAGTGACTCCCACCACGTAGTATTCTTATTTCTACCACTCTCTGACAGGGAGTGACTCCCACCACGTAGTATTCTTATTTCTACCACTCTCTGACAGGGAGTGACTCCCACCACGTAGTATTCTTATTTCTACCACTCTCTGACAGGGAGTGACTCCCACCACGTAGTATTCTTATTTCTACCACTCTCTGACAGGGAGTGACTCCCACCACGTAGTATTCTTATTTCTACCACTCTCTGACAGGGAGTGACTCCCACCACGTAGTATTCTTATTTCTACCACTCTCTGACAGGGAGTGACTCCCACCACGTAGTATTCTTATTTCTACCACTCTCTGACAGGGAGTGACTCCCACCACGTAGTATTCTTATTTCTACCACTCTCTGACAGGGAGTGACTCCCACCACGTAGTATTCTTATTTCTACCACTCTCTGACAGGGAGTGACTCCCACCACGTAGTATTCTTATTTCTACCACTCTCTGACAGGGAGTGACTCCCACCACGTAGTATTCTTATTTCTACCACTCTCTGACAGGGAGTGACTCCCACCACGTAGTATTCTTATTTCTACCACTCTCTGACAGGGAGTGACTCCCACCACGTAGTATTCTTATTTCTACCACTCTCTGACAGGGAGTGACTCCCACCACGTAGTATTCTTATTTCTACCACTCTCTGACAGGGAGTGACTCCCACCACGTAGTATTCTTATTTCTACCACTCTCTGACAGGGAGTGACTCCCACCACGTAGTATTCTTATTTCTACCACTCTCTGACAGGGAGTGACTCCCACCACGTAGTATTCTTATTTCTACCACTCTCTGACAGGGAGTGACTCCCACCACGTAGTATTCTTATTTCTACCACTCTCTGACAGGGAGTGACTCCCACCACGTAGTATTCTTATTTCTACCACTCTCTGACAGGGAGTGACTCCCACCACGTAGTATTCTTATTTCTACCACTCTCTGACAGGGAGTGACTCCCACCACGTAGTATTCTTATTTCTACCACTCTCTGACAGGGAGTGACTCCCACCACGTAGTATTCTTATTTCTACCACTCTCTGACAGGGAGTGACTCCCACCACGTAGTATTCTTATTTCTACCACTCTCTGACAGGGAGTGACTCCCACCACGTAGTATTCTTATTTCTACCACTCTCTGACAGGGAGTGACTCCCACCACGTAGTATTCTTATTTCTACCACTCTCTGACAGGGAGTGACTCCCACCACGTAGTATTCTTATTTCTACCACTCTCTGACAGGGAGTGACTCCCACCACGTAGTATTCTTATTTCTACCACTCTCTGACAGGGAGTGACTCCCACCACGTAGTATTCTTATTTCTACCACTCTCTGACAGGGAGTGACTCCCACCACGTAGTATTCTTATTTCTACCACTCTCTGACAGGGAGTGACTCCCACCACGTAGTATTCTTATTTCTACCACTCTCTGACAGGGAGTGACTCCCACCACGTAGTATTCTTATTTCTACCACTCTCTGACAGGGAGTGACTCCCACCACGTAGTATTCTTATTTCTACCACTCTCTGACAGGGAGTGACTCCCACCACGTAGTATTCTTATTTCTACCACTCTCTGACAGGGAGTGACTCCCACCACGTAGTATTCTTATTTCTACCACTCTCTGACAGGGAGTGACTCCCACCACGTAGTATTCTTATTTCTACCACTCTCTGACAGGGAGTGACTCCCACCACGTAGTATTCTTATTTCTACCACTCTCTGACAGGGAGTGACTCCCACCACGTAGTATTCTTATTTCTACCACTCTCTGACAGGGAGTGACTCCCACCACGTAGTATTCTTATTTCTACCACTCTCTGACAGGGAGTGACTCCCACCACGTAGTATTCTTATTTCTACCACTCTCTGACAGGGAGTGACTCCCACCACGTAGTATTCTTATTTCTACCACTCTCTGACAGGGAGTGACTCCCACCACGTAGTATTCTTATTTCTACCACTCTCTGACAGGGAGTGACTCCCACCACGTAGTATTCTTATTTCTACCACTCTCTGACAGGGAGTGACTCCCACCACGTAGTATTCTTATTTCTACCACTCTCTGACAGGGAGTGACTCCCACCACGTAGTATTCTTATTTCTACCACTCTCTGACAGGGAGTGACTCCCACCACGTAGTATTCTTATTTCTACCACTCTCTGACAGGGAGTGACTCCCACCACGTAGTATTCTTATTTCTACCACTCTCTGACAGGGAGTGACTCCCACCACGTAGTATTCTTATTTCTACCACTCTCTGACAGGGAGTGACTCCCACCACGTAGTATTCTTATTTCTACCACTCTCTGACAGGGAGTGACTCCCACCACGTAGTATTCTTATTTCTACCACTCTCTGACAGGGAGTGACTCCCACCACGTAGTATTCTTATTTCTACCACTCTCTGACAGGGAGTGACTCCCACCACGTAGTATTCTTATTTCTACCACTCTCTGACAGGGAGTGACTCCCACCACGTAGTATTCTTATTTCTACCACTCTCTGACAGGGAGTGACTCCCACCACGTAGTATTCTTATTTCTACCACTCTCTGACAGGGAGTGACTCCCACCACGTAGTATTCTTATTTCTACCACTCTCTGACAGGGAGTGACTCCCACCACGTAGTATTCTTATTTCTACCACTCTCTGACAGGGAGTGACTCCCACCACGTAGTATTCTTATTTCTACCACTCTCTGACAGGGAGTGACTCCCACCACGTAGTATTCTTATTTCTACCACTCTCTGACAGGGAGTGACTCCCACCACGTAGTATTCTTATTTCTACCACTCTCTGACAGGGAGTGACTCCCACCACGTAGTATTCTTATTTCTACCACTCTCTGACAGGGAGTGACTCCCACCACGTAGTATTCTTATTTCTACCACTCTCTGACAGGGAGCGACTCCCACCACGTAGTATTCTTATTTCTACCACTCTCTGACAGGAGCGACTCCCACTACGTAGTATTCTTATTTCTACCACTCTCTGACAGGAGCGACTCCCACCACGTAGTATTCTTATTTCTACCACTGTCCGACAGGGAGTGACTCCCACCACGTAGTATTCTTATTTCTAACACTCTCTGACAGGGTGCGACTCCCACCACGAAGCATTTTTAATTCTATTTTCTACCACTCTCTGACAGGGTGTCCAACTTTGTGAAAGACTGAGAGTATAGTTTACAAAGACCTGTAAATCATACTCTAAAATCCTGATAATAAGCCCAATGTAAAAAAAAATTATTAAGGAATTCTAGATTTATTTTGAAGGACTGTCATAGTTTCTTAGCCTTTTAGACTTATATTAATTACATAAAAGTCGCATTCAGAATATCACAATCGCATGTAGCTATTCACATATTTATATACACATGGTTTTGTCAGAAAATTATGCTGTAAATGTAATCATGCAATACGATAATTACCTATCAGACATATTTGGGTTGAGAACGAAAATGCAACTTCTAAGGAATCTAAGGCCTACAAAATTTATGTATTTCAAGTCCAGTCTAAATTTAAAAGATAACTCATTTATGAGATGATAGGAAAGCAAAGAATCAAAAATTTTGTTTTCACGGCTGGCTTATTTATCATTAAGATTTTAGTACGGTACAGTATGTATTACAAAAATGCAAAATCAGTACAGTATGTATTACAAAAATGCAAAATCTATTCTTTTTCATAAAAATTGTAAAACTCCACATACATCAAGTGCTGTTTAGATAACAGATCTACACATTAGATAATAACCTGCACTACCTACACTAAAATTAGACACTTAATTACTCTCAATTAACATGAAATATCAATAAATTATAGAAAGATTTGTATGCATGCATCAATCTAAAAGTTCACGTATCGAGAAACACCAACACACATTTTAAAATTACTCAATCATCTCAAAATACATCTCCGCAAAGTTGTTGATTACAACATGCATACCAATGGATATCTGTTTAATGGTTTTCTGAATATACATATTGTAATACAAAAGCATATTAAAATGTTGGTTCAACCATATTGTTGATATTAAATTGTAAAAGTTAGAATTAGGAGTGAGTGGAGAAGGATAGTTTTTGTGACAAGTCCATGACCACTGAGTTAATTTTAGGTAACAATGAAAACTCATTTACCAGCCCGAGTACGAGAACAGGCCGGAATAAAATGCCAAGGCTACCCGGCCCACACTCTGTGGTTCGGAGGTGTGGTTCTCGAAAGAACCCTCAAAACTCTCTCTATCTCCTGCACATGCAAACAAAAACATTCTAAATTGTAATGAAATCAATTATCTATCTTTTTGGAGCAATTTATCTTTAGATCTTGAAGAGATCTAATAATTTAAGCCTTGAAGAGATTTATATAGTAATTTTGTTGTTCATTTCATCTTCAGTTATTATTGACCAATTTCTTTTAACAAATTATGCATGAAAATCTTTAATAATTAGTATAGACCTAGATCTATAGCCCTCTAAAGGACATTGTAGTTGGATACACCAGTTTTGATTGAAAGTAAAGGTAACATAATGAACTATTTTTCAAACCAGATTTTTTTCTAAGTAACAATTTTAAAGGTTACTAATAGTAAACTAAATATTGATTCTGTTTTTCCTAGTACAGGAAGCCACACCAGCCTCCGTAATCGTACAGCTTACCTATAACAAGGTAGACCATTCCCGTGATGATGATAATGACGAGAGCGATTATTTTCGTCACTGTGAAGACATCCTGAACTCGAGCTGCCCATTTCACATTCACACAGTTGATGAATGTAAGAAGTGCTGAAATAGTAAGAAACCAAATAAAGAATTTTCAGTGATAAACAAGAAACATCTTAAAAAAAAAAAAAAAAACGCACAGTTTTGTTGTGTTTGGTTATATATAAGACTGTAATAGCTGTGTACCTATATGACATTGCTCAAATTAAAACATATCAGATGAATGGTTTTCAAGAAAATTAATATATATGCAACAAAAAGAAAACACATTTTACGATTAACTTCGTAAAAAAAATCCAATTGGTTAACCTGTGCTGATTCTATGTAGTCATTCAATGGGAGATAATCACAAATGTGAATATAACAAGTTACGAGTCAAAAGAGGCAATGAATCCTAAAACGATTTTAAGTGGCTATACCAAATCCAACTCGCTTTAAAATTCAAAACCACTTTGCTTTTACTTCAAATCTATTATTTATATAAAATGATCATCTGGTCAATTGGATAAGACACCCTTACTGGTGGCGCCACCTAGCACGTCATATAACATAAGAAGTTTTCCCAGTGAATCTCAATTTGATTTTTAAACTGATCTGATGAATGCGTAGCAATGTCCATGGAAAAGGTTTGATTTAATATACAAACTTAGTAAAGATTTTATATTTCCGACGAAGAGTTTTCCAATATCAGGAAAAGACAAAATCCATGATCGATTTTAGTCGGAAAGCTAATGTGTAGATATTATGGAGTTTTCAGCAGACATTTTTCCCAGCTACTTTGTAAAATTGATGGCATCATCACTGCATGACTAGGACTATATATTACAGATTCAGTGTTTGAAAAAGAGGTATTTCTTATATTATAATGACCTGGTATAGTGATCCAGCTACAATTTATTTTAATGAGTCCTTTTCAACTGTAATGGTAAAAGCAATGAGTCCCACAATGTTAAATTTAACTATTTCCAGAAAATCTGTGAGTCCCATCAAAATTCTATGAGTTCAGGCCTCGCATGTAGATTTATCACTGATGGTATCACTTTTTTATTTGCCTAAGTGACTCGCAACAACAGCATGAATGATTTCATTAAGTATTTCTATAAAACGATTATTGATTGATCATCGGTTGGTTAATGGTAACCAATGATCGATCATAAAATTCAACCGATTCCAACCGATATTATATTATCTCCCCTTATATAATTGGCTCCTAAACTGTCTATTGTAATTATTATATATGCAGTATACATACATAATAGCTTATCTATATAAGTGTGACAGGATTCTGTTGCTCACATAGGAAATAAAACATCCTATTCCCCTCCCATGCTTAAGTTTCTCCGACCATAGTCTCCTTATTTAGAGCCCCTCTAGAATAATTAGCAAGTGGCACCACGCCTCCTGCAGAACCCTCTGCCTTCATGAGACATAATTCTGTCATAACCGATAAAAACAAGAATCGTGTTACTCTAGGGCAAAAAATGTATATTATCATTTTTTTGGTATTTCTTCATCTGTAGATTATTTTTAACAACGTTTTGAGGATTTTAACAAATTCTGGCAGCAATTTCCTATAATATTTGAAATAGTTTGAAATTACAAAGGTTTAAGATAGTTCATTCAACTTAAGTTTCACATTCAGTGATTTATTTCATGTAGTTGTACAGCTGAATACAGATTGCCTCCCCTAGTAAAGAAAGTGCCTTATTTTCCTAAAATGACCCAAAAATGAGTAATATCTTCCAAGTTTCAATAAAAATAATGTAATATTTTCCTGATTTGTGGAAGAACAGACAGTTTACTAACAAATAACAATATAGTAAATGTTATCATAATGTGCTAGGTACGTGTATGTATCACAAGCATTTTTTCACTAGCCTCAACATAGCCGGGGCTGGGATGTGTTCAGGGCTTGTGAAATTATTGAACAACTGTATCAAGTCAATTCCTCCAAATCTTGCTTGGCCAATGAAAATATTAAAGGCCTTCTGAACAATATCAAGAACTTGTGTCACCAATGTCCATGTCAATTCAATTTATAGACACTTGATGACATATTGTCTGCTCACTGTGCATGTTGTCACAAAAATTAAGCTATAAGGTTGACAATACATGTATTTGGCATTTTTTGGCCTCATGGCTACTGAAATTAGATACCTTAATAAGGAAGCAACAAGCTGGTAAAGTATGGAAAAACTGAAATGTTTGGTGAACAAAAAGTAAGGAAATTATCTAAAAACCAAACACTTATTTGCCCTTCAGACTACAGTGTTGACAAATTATTGGGTATGACATAAAAATGATCAAATAAAAACTGATTATTTGTTGCAACTTGCAGTTGGCGTAATTGATTGAAAAAAATGTTTTCTTTCTTTTTCTTTTTGATTTGCAGCCATAAACAACATATGATAAAGTACTCTGATATTACATATACCTCTATCATTTTGAAAATTTGCTGGATATTTATAAATCTTTTACGATGTACATTAACTAAAAACTGATAGAATACACTCAATACTTTACTTTCAATAAATTGGTAAATGATGTGATAAAACTATATGTACTCTTTGCCTTAAGACTATAATTAATGTATTTATATTGCTGTGATATCGTTATGGCGGGTACGTATATGGCGGACGTCGCTGTAGTGAACTGTTATGTGACGTCACAACATATACTTCAAATAAACAGTCTGAAGAATCTCCTAGAAGAGATGAAAGTACTAAAGACTCATTGTTGAGAATTTTTCTTTTTAAAATATATATATATATATGAGGGAAATGCTTCGTATAAGTTGTTCAACTTGTGCCCAATCCCATTGCTAATTATATTGACAAGAAAATATGTTTTAGATAAAAAAATAAAATATGTAGATCTGCATAATGTATGACTTATACTACAATAAACTATTATCGTGCATAAATTAACAAAAATCTTTACAATAATGTAACATGTGTTTACAAATTAAAGTGTAACCCTTTTTTCAATTTTTCAATAGGTGATAAAAAATAATTCTACTACAAAAGTGTTGTTATATTTTAGAATAGAATATTCCTCTCTTTTGACATTTCAGTCCAATGGCAGCTTCAAGAAAATTTCATTGTAAACTAGAAAAAATCAATCAACACAGAAAATAATTGAATAGTACATTTAGAGACTGGCAATAATTAGTGATGTATAATCTTCATTGTAAAGCATAAGGCAAGCCCTTCTTTCCTGTTTCCTTCACAGCTGATTTGTTTAGTGAAATCAAGATCTTTTGAGCATGTGAATCATAGAAATGTCTAATAAAGTCTGATGATAATATTCTAAAAGAAAAGAAGCGAGAGTTCGGGAGCATTGTTCTTAAAATTGTAAAGGAAAGGCATTATAAGTTATTAATTGATCATAAACAATCTGGGTCTGCTCTTCATTATGATGGAATCTGAGGCCAAAAAACACCTTAGTACATGTATTGGTAAGTTTGAACCCTTAGGACAATATATAAATATAGATAGAAGACATAAAATACTGTCATCTTTTCAATGCCATCACTCATCAGACAGATGAAAGTCATTAACATCCAATAAACAGCATTTGTACTATTCTATCTCAAATTCCATGTTATAAAGTTATTGTGGTCAAGTTGACAGTGACCACACTGACCATACAAATATATCCAAGATGTACACACATAGTACCGCTGGATAGTTTTGTAACTGAAACACTCCATATACTGACGCAGACATAAAACCACTCAAACAAACAACATGTGTAAACACATGTAAATAAGAAAGGTAGCAGGGATGGTGGGCCCACCAGTGTTCAATAGTTATAGATTGAATGGTAAAGTCACGCACCAGGGTAACATCATTGTGGGTAGGCAAGGTAAGCTGGTCACTCATCCGTGACCAGGTAATACACTGACCAGTACACAAGAAACAGTGTCAGTTATGTTCATATGGAACTTACAAGATCTAGAGCATGTAAAATGTTGAATTGGCAGTAGACTAGCTACCAGCTCCGGAAGTTTTTATGTTGAGTTCCCTAGCTCATTTTATGATTTTACTACTAGTTTATCTCTCTATAGTTTGAGAACTTTGAATTAGACATCCAAGTGATCAGTATAATTAGAGTTAACTTGTTTTCTAAATAATTCAATATTTTAGAGATGGGGCCTGTCTAAATTGACAGGAAACATAGCAATAAATACTCTCCAAAGCCGCCCCACCCTGTTTAACCCATACTTTATAATATGATCGTTCAGCCGTGTACTATTACTTGATTACTACAGTTAAAATAACATATCTACACATTTATATCATAAACCACAAGTAAATGTTTCCCTATTCATGATTTAAATAATCATCATAAAACCATCGTTTCTAAGACACCTTATACTATAGTTACTGTGGTAGTAAGGCATACGGATGTGTGGAATAGCCAGTTGTAAACAAAGCACACGTGAATACCGCGTGGTAAAGAGAATGACGAAATCTTGCATCATCACAACATTAACCGGTACTTACTGCAGCAATCATTGCCGCTTATCATTGTGATTGTGTTACTTGCGATATTTACAAGGTTCGGCAGGAAAATACGAGTATGAATGAAAATAATTTCATTCGTGATTTTATGAATAAAGGTGAATATTTAAAGAGTTGTTTTTAATACTTACTGATACAAAGTGCAGCTAACAGTTGAGTGGCATATTTTGGCGATTCGCACGGGAACAGAGGTTCGAGTATATATTCAGCAAATGTCAATGCCGTTATGGCATTTCCCGTGGGTAAAATAATAATGATTGCCACCCACAGGTATAAAAATGCGGGTAAATTGCCAAAAGCCGTACGTATATAAGCATAGTCAGCACCCGATTTCAGAATCATAGTCCCCAGTTCGGCATAACACACCGCTCCTATTAGGGATATTAGTCCACATAATACCCATATGATGAGTGAGAGACCAACAGATCCAGCCTCCTGTAGCACTCCTTTGGGAGATATAAAAATGCCTCCTCCAATTATAACACCAACGATTAGTGCCACTCCATTGTGAAGTCCGAGTTCTTTCTTAAGTTTGACAGTATCTGAACGATCAGAGGAAGAAACTGATGCTGTCTCCTCTTTCCCCATCTTTTCCCTCAGTCAAAATTTGTCGAATACGAAACCAACAATTTTTCTGTAACACGTGTTACGTTGCTCCGGAGGAAATGTTATTGTTCTAACGTGACTAGGCCTCGCAGACGGCCTATGTTATGAGTTTCACGAATTGTTCACTGGTAAATATGATCCTGGCGACTTTAACTGAAGCCTGATGTGGTCAAGAGTCCTGCCGAGTGTAACTGATAGCTTTTACCATAAGCTGACCAACCATTCGTCACCTCCATACAGAGTGTTTGTGCTTACTGTGTCACGCTGTTTATACTTAGCTACACGCGGGAGATATCATCCTTCCGGTAGGGTTAGGTCAGAGAATGAAACGACCAATCAAAATGCCGCTAAATTGAATGGGGCACCAAAGGGTTGTCGTTCGAGGATTTAGTCCCCCATTTACGTATGTGAAGTTTTGTTTCACATTTGACTCTCAATGAAATTCAATTAAACAAAAGAATATTAAAAAACAGGGAGTATTACGAATACCAGGGACAGTATATAGACGTCCCCTTTTGGCGGCGGACTGACCTTTTCCGGGCCGGCCCATAATGGTCTGATCGGCCGGGAATGCGAACATATTAACATTTTAAAATGCATCAAATAATGCACGGAGCTTGTATAAAAAAAATCTGGGGCTACGCCCCACACATCCCATACGGCATCCTAGCAAATATTGTGGGTTTCCGTTATCTGATATTTTTACAATATTTTCTTCATTTAAACAATATTTATTGGCATCGCTACGCTCGTCTACTTTGTATCTTGACCCTAAAGTGTGTGTTTTATTTTACCATCTCCGCAAAACCCGAAGTTGCAACTTGCAACGCTCGGAGCATAATTATATTATTGACCGCTCGTTATATATGATCTGAAAATTATTACTTTTTATTGTAACCTTCCTAACCGCCCGGGCGATATTAATCATATCATTATACAAGAACGATAAAGTTTTTTTTCGGCTGACAATATTATGTATAATCGACTAAACATATCCATTCAATTATTTTGGTATTATATATATTGTTGGAACTGTTTAACTATCTTGTATGTACAACATAATATCTCATTGTGGTACTTATAGCTTACCATCGTGTACGTACAAGAAAGTATCTTCACACAGCATACTATTGTGTACGTAGTAATAAGTTGTACGTACCAGAATGAGATGATATGCTGTACTTACAAGTATGATAATTTTAAATTAAATTTAAAGGTGACGCGTNCACTATTTGGGTTGGTCCATTAAAATTCACGATATGTATCCAATAAAACAGGAACAATGTCCCTCACCACATGCACATGTACACGGTACTCCGGAGTCTGGAGATTTTTAAAAGTTATTTACATTAGTATAAGATTTCTAAAAACTGGATCGTGAACTGCTTGAATTGCTACAATACTTGCAGTGGCATAATGTCTTAAAAATGCTTAGACAGTTAAAAGCTAAAAGCTAGATATAGTCACTAAAAGCATTTAGAGAGCACTAAAGAGCACTACAAGCGGGTATTAAAACACAGCAAGCGGTATGGTAAAATCCCTGAAGCAAGTCCACTAGAAGCGTGCGGTTAAGAATGTTATAAGTTAAAAAGACAGTTTGACGTAACACTGTACACTTTAAAAACAAATATAACTCATAGCTTGTTGTTCCTTCCCCTCCCCCTAGTGAATTAGTCAACAATTATAAAACGTGAGACTATATCAGGGGCGGGTCCAGGTGAGGGCGTAATGGGCGTACGCCACTGTATATAGCTATTGGCCTTGGGTGTCGCACTGATTTGAACTTACCGTTTGTTCAACAACTTAGTGATGCCATGAGGAACTCATTAATTAAACAGCAACGATGTTATGGTGTTATTTGTTAGACTAGATTTATATTTTGACGGTGGACCTCTCGTACCCCCTTGCGGGCAGGACGCCAAATTAGGTAATAATGAACAAGCCCCCTGTGGATTCATACATTTGTCATCACCAGGTTGCCCCTATAAAAATACCATCTGACTTCTAAAACACACTGTTGATAGAGAATTTGAACCGAAACTTTAAGTTTCTTTCCAGTACACAAAAAAAGTCTTTGGGCCATACTTAAAATATGTTTATTTCTTCTTGTTAATTAAACGTAAAAACAATCCTCAGAAATCGGGAAATCGCTTCTGAGACGTTCTAGAAAACACATTTTTTTGGGGGGGAGATCCCCCGAACCCCCCTTACGGGGAGGGGGTCTGTACCCTCCCCCTCCTCGCGCTACGCGCTCGGGCTACTGCCTTTCGCAGCACACCGTTGACTATTGAGAAAAAAATCTCGGCCCCCCTCTTTTAGGAAATCCTGGATCCGCCCCTGCTTACCATTAGGTAACAGAACCAAATTATGTCTGATTTTTTCATAATCTTTTTAATATTACATTTTACTAGTGAGGTGTTTTTTTCTACTGTGATAAATAACCTTTTTTCACGTTTATAATCGACCAATAAAAAAGCAGGGTTTCATGCGAAAAACCGCAACAAACAATGGGCATTGTCAATTGTAACGTATACGTACGTCACAATAGCCTTGACGTCTTCCTATTGTGACATCGCAATATCTGCTGGATAACCGGACTACTCGGTAGTGAAGCGGACGTAAAACTACTCAAAGAAATCCCGAATGGTTAATGTCTCTCACTCTTGAATTAGTTTCTCTTTTACTCTAATCGTAGAGTAGTAAAGAATAAAAGGGAAACATAATCTTATTTAATATTATCTTTTAATGTACGAAGAAATCAGTCCATTAATTATTGCTGACGTCGTGGACTTTTTATTACTTATCTTACTTATCGCAAATACAGGACCTTTATTTGTGTTCTGGGACGACTCGACGAGTGTGATAAAATAAGGTAAGAATTTAAGCTGAAAAACACGGTTGGATGATTCGTCCATAATATAAAACAGAGGAACCAAAGATACGTGGGTTGGACTGAAGGCTTAATGAATGGGTAAATCAAAGACAACATTTGGTTCATTTCATTACCGTTTTTAATACATATCATCCTCGAAATCCCAGGAGATGCTCACTTACGTTCTATGCAGAGAACTTGATTAAGTTAAGAGTAACTATTGGACTTTCGTGGATGAACGGATGTGTAAAATGTATGTTTAGAAAAAAAGCTCTTTTCCTACTTTTGATTGAAATAAGAATGACGTCACTGAAGCATGAAACTGTCAAATGAAAAAAATATTGCACTCCTTTCATTTGATTGTCATAGGCAATATCAATGCCAACTGGTCAAATGCAACTTCAATGAAGCGCACTAGCGTTTGTCCAATTGGAATTCATATTGCCTATAAATGTCAAATGAAAGGAGTGCAATACTTCTATTTACCATTTTTGGAATCTGTTCATTTCATAAACAATTCTATTGCAATTATTATCATTCAGCATTTAGTTCAAATAATGTATGTATCATGTATGCTTGCTCAATGAATAGAACAGCCATCGCCCAGGGAGGGTCAGTGGTATCCAATGTAACAATTATGAAGTCAACAATCGGTCCATGATATTCATAGCATATATGAATCCCAACTGAATTTGGTATGGTTATACAGTGGCAATGTCAAACGATGGTAAATAAATATAAATACCCGGGGTACTTGAAGATCTTGGTTGTACAGCTAGTAGCTTTTGGATAATAAGTTATGTTCGTTTCATCGCTTTTAACAGACTAAGCTAGATGGACATCGGGTAACTCCCATCAACAATGTTTCACTCCCAGGTAGAACCTTGGGCCAGTAATGTAGCATAATGATGAAACATTTAGTATGTCTGTATCATGATTATCATTTATGTATCCTCCAATTGACCACATGGACAATTCGTAATAAAATAAGCATATTGACAAAGAACAGGAACTTAATTCTCAAATATACACACGTTTAATAACGATCTTATCGATGATGAAATTTGTATCGACAAAAAAATGCACAAAGCAATACAAAGTGTGCACAATCTAATTGACATAATGATATAAATTGTAGTGGAGAATACCTCTAAATAGTATATGGTAATTATATTGTAATCTGACAGTGCAAATAAACAATGAGCTCGGTTTCAAATTCAGTGTAAATCAGGCACCAATGATCGTCTGTAATATTAGTATTAGTAAGGACTAAATGCCCGGGAGCTTGCTCTCTTATTGTTTTTGTCATCGTGTCTTGGTAAGAACTGAATGATGGGAGCTTGCTCTCCCCTTTTTTGTCACTGTGTATTAGTAAGGACTAAATGATGGAAGCCTGCTCTCCTATTGTTTTTGTCAATGTGTATCGGTAAGAACTGAAGGATGAAAGCATGCTATTTCCTTGTTTTTGTCACTGTGTATTAGTAAGAACTGAAGGATGGAAGCTTGCTCTCCCCTTGTTTTTGTCATTGTGCCTTGTAAGAACTGGAGGATGGAAGCTTGATCTCCCCTTTTGTGTCAATGTGTATTAGTAAGGACTAAATGATGGAAGCCTGCTCTCCTATTGTTTTTGTCAATGTGTATCGGTAAGAACTGAAGGATGAAAGCATGCTATTCCCTTGTTTTTGTCACTGTGTGTTAGTAAGAACTGAAGGATGGAAGCTTGCTCTCCCCTTGTTTTTGTCATTGTGCCTTGTAAGAACTGGAGGATGGAAGCTTGATCTCCCCTTTTGTGTCAATGTGTATTAGTAAGGACTAAATGATGGAAGCCTGCTCTCCTATTGTTTTTGTCAATGTGTATCGGTAAGAACTGAAGGATGAAAGCATGCTATTCCCTTGTTTTTGTCACTGTGTGTTAGTAAGAACTGAAGGATGGAAGCTTGCTCTCCCCTTGTTTTTGTCATTGTGCCTTGTAAGAACTGGAGGATGGAAGCTTGATCTCCCCTTATTTTTTACACTGCGTCTTGGTAAGAGCTAAATGATTGGAGCATGCTCTCTCCTTGTTTTTGTCATTGTGTCTTGGTAAGAACTGAAGGACGGAATCTTATTCCCCTTGTTTTTGTCACTTTGCCCTGGTCAGGACAAAGAAGGATGGAAGGTAGCTCTCCATTGTTTTTGACACAATTGCTTAGTAAGAACTGAATGATGGAAGCGAAGCTTCTTCTCTCCTTGTTTTTGTCACAGTGCCTTGGTAAGAACTGGAGGATGGAAGCTTGCTGTCCCCTTTCTTTTTGTCACTGACTGTGCCTTGGTAACAGCTGAATGATGGAAACTTCCTCTCCCCTTGTTTTTGTCACTGACTGTGTCTTGGTAAGAACTGAAGGATGGAAGCT